TTTTTTTTCTTCAATTGGGCAACAGAACAAAACAAATTTGCTTCTTAGGGGCTGTTGGGTTGGGAAGCTACCATCTCTCCTAAACTTTCCCAAAATTTTCCGCTAAAAATGAAAGCGAGATTTTTAACTCTTATCTCCACCCCCAACTCAGACCTAAACCATGCGACTCCTCAAAGTACATGCGACTCCTCATGGCCCACAAGAACCTGGCTTACCTCCATATATCGCGTGACAGAGGCACCGATGAGCGCCATTGATAACCTTAAGGCTAACCTCGATAGTCTTCGCGTACGAAATGAAACTGAAAACCCATTAGCATTGATTTAATTTTAATCAGACAGAGGATTTGATTCAGGATTCTACACTTGCAATTTCCTATTCAAAACCCAAACTTTGACAGATAAACTTCACCACACACTAAACCTTCAATTTAGGGGTGTTTAAATTGGGGGCAAACATTCCTTAACACTTTTCTAAACTCTTCCAACATCTCCCACCTCTTCTGATAAGGTAAAAATTTCTTTGCAATTTTCTTGATAGTGGACCCACTTAATAGTTATTCCTATTAATTTTCACCCCGTGTCAACTATTTTCCCACTAAAAGTTTTACTGATCAGCTATATCTGTCATCAAACAAGGCAAAATTCGATTCAATCCCGATCTAAAGAGAACTCGCCCTGCCCAGGTAGGGCTCACGAGCTACGTGAGAGTCGTCGCATCCCTCCCTCCGCTGAGATTTTCTCAGCTTTCTTTCGCCTTTTCTATTCAATTTTCAAGTTTTCTTTTTCCCTAAACTCCCTTCTAGTTTTCCTCCCCCTCTCCATGATTTCAGGTTCTCTCATAGTTTTTCTACTTGCTCCGTTCCTAAATCTGAAATTTGTTGCAAGGAATATTTTTTAAAGAATATTGCAAGGATTTTAAAGGAAAAATAACCTCCTTTGGATTCGAACACTGAATCTCTTAAAGGTTTCAAATAATTCCTGCCACTTGATCCGAAGCAAGGTTGTTGTGTATGGATGCATTAACATTTATTTATTGTAATACTGCTATGTAAATTGAATAATTTCAACACATATGAGACTCGAACCTTAGTTCTCTATACAATAAAAACAGAACACTAACCACTTGAGCCTCTACTCATTCATTGAAATGGGTTACATTATATTATATTTAATATATAGATTCAAAATTCAATCAACTCAATTTTTTAACCCGTTAAATCGGTTGAACCGTAAAAACTGTGAACCGGAGGTCAAAATTCAATCGATTTTGAAAACATTGATCTAGCTATTAGCCAAAAAAAAACCCCAAAACATTTTTTATAGTCTTTGTTGTTTTTGCTTGTTTTTTCCCTATTGGTCGATTATGGCGCAATCGGGCTTGGTTACCAGGAGGTGGAGCTCTCTAATACTGCTGCCGGAAGAGTAATTGCTGAATCTCCTATCAAAAAGGGAAGGTCTATGATGTTTTGGCTAAAGCATGGAGAAACTTTCAGGTAAATAAAGTGAATACTAATCTACATGCACAGAAGTAGGAGTAGAACAAATAGAAACTAATAATTTTGTAAAATTAAAAATAGAATCAAGATAATTTAGGTTTTTCAACCATAAATTTATCCTCAAACTAAAATTTCAAATAACTACATATACTATCATAGTCAAAACTCCTAATTCAATTCTAATTTGAAATATTCCTCTTTGCCCGTCTGCAAGAATCGGGGCCAATTGTCATCCGTACTTATGGTGGACAAGGACCTGCGTTACCGTTATATATCGCGTCACACAAGCACAGAGGGCCATTACTGTACGTATAACTCACCTCCGGCTTCGCGCCCGGCAGCCCCTTTTCACAGAGATCCTTACAACATTTTGCGTCTCTGCAATTTCCAGCCGGAATTGCTTTGTGGCATTTTTGAATAGCTTCTTCGGAGACAGATTTTCCACTAAACTCAACTGCAAACCACAGATAAAAACAAAGGTCAATTGATAGGTCATTATTGTCAGAATTGCAGAAAGCAAAAGGCTGAAATGAAACTGAAAACCCATTAGCATTGATTTAATTTTAATCAGACAGAGGATTTGATTCAAGATTCTACACTCGCGATTTCCTATTCAAACCCCAAACTTTGACAGATAAACTTCACCCCACACGAAACCTTCAGGGGTGTTTAGTTAGAGGGCAAACTTTCTGTACACTTTCCAAACCCTTCCAACCTCTCACACATCTTCTGATGAAGTAAAAATATTTTTACAATTTTCTTTATAATGGATCCACTTAAGAGTTGTTCCTATTAACTTTCTCCCCGTGTCAACTATTTTCTCACTAAAAGTTTCACTGATAAGCTATCTCTGTCACGAAACAAGCCAAAATTGGATTCAATCCCGATCTAAAGAGAACTAGCCCTGCCCAGCTAGGGCTCACGAGCTACATGAGAGTTATCGCATCCCTACAACCAGCCGAAGAGTACTCCAACCAGCCAAAGACACAGCTTGGCAACTGAGTTGGTAATACAAACTTGTTCTCTAACCAAAACCTTGTCATGGCTCACAGTTAGTTGTAAATAAGCTAGTCACCTTAAAGAACTGTACCTTTTGTTGGTCTTGTAAATATGCTGTTTGTGTAACTAAGCTCTGGGACTGGATCTAAATCAAGCTAGGCTTGTGGATTGTAAGCATATAAAATCTATTTTGGAACTTATGGTTTATATGCTAGTTACGTTTTGAATTTAAGAATGTTCTCTATGAACCAGTAAGATGTAGCTCAAGACTTGCCGACTTTTGAATAGAAATCTATTCCAACAGAAATTTCAGCTATGAGTCTATAGCAGTCTTTGGAAACTACCTGTTTGATATCAGAGCCAAGGGTTTTGCTAAGAGTCAAGTTTGTTTGGTTGACAGGTGACTGACTAACTAATTATGCAATTTCTGTTTTTCTTTAATGTAATCTAATGATGCAGGGCAGGTGGATCCTGTCGCAGAGGAGCCACCAGAATTAATAAACAACAACAGAATGTTGGTGCTGGTGGAGTGGTGACAATTTCTATGGATGTATTATGAACTATTATCACGGAAATGGTACAAGAAGCAATGTAAGAGGTGAACCAGCAACAAAATGTTCAGAGGCAATGGAGGGAATGTGGGTCCAGAGAGGGATTGAATTGTTTGAGGAGGATCCTGAATATCAAGGCAAACTGAAGCAATTTCAGAAATGGCACCCAACTACCTTTAGGGGTACACAAGACACCAAAGATGTTAATGAGTGGATACAGAATCTAGAACAGATATTCAAAGTGATGAGATGCAAGGGTCATCACAAAGTTCTGCTGGCCACCTTTATGCTTAGAGGAGAGGTTAGAAGTTGGTGGAAAAGGTATACTGACAGGGGGGAGAGCTTAACTTGGAGGGATTTTATCATAGACTTGTATGAGACCTAGTTCTCTCAAGCTATACTTACTAGGAAGGAGCAGGAATTAAATGAATTGCGGCAAGAAGATATGACAGTAGATCAGTACAAGGCCAGCAGAACTTGGCACTTGTGCTGCTGCAGTGAAAAAGGCTTAAGTAATTGAGCAATACCAAAATGCCAAGAAGGAAAAAAAAAATCTTGAACAGGGAGGCAAAGGTAAAGCAGTTAATTCTCCAATGGCAGCATTCTCTTACCAAATCAAAAATCAGAATTTGAATTTAGGGTAATAGAGAAATTGACTGATTCAAGAAACAATTTTTTTTTGTTTTTTTGAACATAGGTAATTCGGGGTAGAGGGAAGGGGAAGGGGTGGGGATTGAAATCCACACCCTTAGGTGAGAAACCCTCTAACGATATTGAGGTGGCCACTTGGGCCACGGTGGGTTTCTCTCTGATTCAAGAAACATTTAATATAGAATAAGAATGGAGAAGAACCTGATGAACAAGTCGACAGCAGCACTGGTGGACGCGTTCCCATGCCCAAACAAACCGACTGCAGCAATTGAGCCCTAGTAGGATTGATCTGCCGGTGCCGAAGTAGTCCACAGATGCAGGAATTGTTGCTTCCAGTGGAGCTGAATAGAGAGATAGCATCGCAACATTTCTGATCAGGAACTGCGTTGGGGACGTCGTTCGGCGGTGTAGAAACGAACCGCAGACAAGGAGAGAACGCCACGAGCTCCGCCGCGCATGCTGGGTGCAGCGATGGTGCAGCAGATGTTGCAGCAGTGGCGCAGAGGATCAAGATTAGCAGGGGTATGAGACAGATTGAAGTTGGAAACGCCATCACCGGAGACGGGGGAAATTGGGAGAGACCTCTTTTTGTAGTGAAACTCATTTTCTTGATAATAACAGATGTGATCCGCTGATCAGGTTGGTTTCTTTTTTTTTTTCTTTAACAATAAAAGGGGTAGAGAGGAGATTTGAGAGGAACACGGTGACAGGAAAATGCGCAATATTTTGAGCGAATGACAACGCACGGATTTTCAATCCTAGAAAGAGTGAGATAATGACAAAGGTCAAAGATTTTCGATTTTAGAAAGAGTAGTCCCCACAAGGACGAATATACAGGATGATTTTAAGACCAGCTCTCTGTCTCTCTCATTTTCCTCACACATCTTCTCCATTTTTGCATCTAGCTCCTTCTCCATGGTATAATTCGGTTCAAATCCATCTGAATTATTTAAAACTCCATGGCAATTGTTTTTTTTTTTTCAAATAAAACTAAATCCTAAATTATTAAGTGAAATTGAGCGCCGAAAAAGGTATTCACTTTTTACAAGGAAAATTCAAGAGAAAAAGGGGAAAGATTTGAAAGGGAGAGAAAATATAAGAAACCCTTGGTATGACTCTCAACCCCATCTCTATTATTTAAAATTCCATGACCATTGTTTTAAATTTTTGAAGAAAAAAAAAAAAAAAAAACACTAAACCTTAACTATTGAATAAAATTAAACCTTAATTGATGGGAATCAGACCTTAAAAATGGTATTCACTCTTTGCAACGGAAGATAAGTAAAAAAAGGGAGGAAGATTTGGGAGAGAGGGAAAACGTGAAAGATGTGACGAAGATGAAGGCGAAACAGGTAGAGAATCTTCACCAAAAAAAAAAAAAAAAAAGGCAGTTAGAGAAAAGAAAGAAGGAATAAGATGATTGGCTGTCGTGTGGGTGCCCCGTCGAGGTAATACGTTGTGAGGATAGGGTGCGACAGTTAGAGGCATCAATTTCGTGCGGTAGGGACCACACATTGATCACTACTTTCCTCGGAAAGCGTGATTACTACTTTCGAAAAGGGGACAGTGTTGTGCCAACTACCATCTCTCTACTATCAAAAATAATTCCAAGTTACATCATGTTCTAAGTTACATCATGTTCTTCTTCAACTATAAATTAACGACACATGTCCTTTTTTACTATTAAAAAATATATTAATGACGTCACTCTGTCCAAGTTCCATTCAATTTTTTTTTTTTTTTTGTAAAAAGGGAGATAGCATAAATAATTAAATAAATACAGTAGTTCTGAGAGTTATAATCCCAATTCCCAATAATATCTGAATACAAAAGATTACAAAGACCGAAAGGACATTGATTCAGCACAACAAAAGGAGAGTCCGACTTCGTACCTTCCTTAACCAACCAGTCAGCAACACTATTGGCTTCTCTGAACACGTCTAAACTAGATGCTAGGGACTTGGGACAGCATAACCCTGCAATCATCAATTAAAACCCCTGAGTGAGAATCAGAATGGGCAGAATCAATCAGTGTTTTTTGCAATCATCATTTTTTTTTTTGAAAAAAAAAAAAAAGTTCCATTCAATTTTGGGTTAACAGAAGGTTTATTAATTGTTAACATTAACTTGTCCAAGCATCCAATCCTTTTATTATTTTTTTATCACCTGGGGTCTGTGGGCCCCCAGTGCCACATCAGATCCCCTTTAAATTCTTTGCTAGCACTGTGCAAGCATCGAAATGCCCAAATTCTTCGATCTCATTCGCCCTCTTCTGAGAAATCCTAAACAAGAATCCATCAAACCCATCAACAATCAACCAAAATCACCAAAATCAGTAGCCGGCACTGTGCAAGCATCAAAATCCCTAAATTTTTTCCTTCTCTTCGAACTCATTTGTCCTCCGAGTGATGCAGCACGAGCCCAAGCTTATGTTTGACACCCTGAAGCACCGTGCGGATGAGTTTTGTGGGCCAGAACACAGCGATTCGGATAGTGATGGTCACGGAACGGCCAACGCTGCTCTAGCTAACAGCCTTGATCGATCCTTCCGCAACATGCCGTATCTCACTATAAGAAAAATAATTTTTAGTAGTAGAAATTTGTAATGAATTTTGAAATTATTAATATAATTAATTATAATTATGATAGATTTAAAAAATTAATTATAGATGTATATATATTTAATAATAAAAAAATTTATCATAAAAAATATATTTTGTCACCAAGAAATATTCCTAGAGATCAATACATTTTCATTGATAAAAATCGTCACTATAATACATTACAATTATAATAGAATTCTAATATTGATCACATATATCTTACACATTTAATGATGATCAAATAATTCATCATTAAAAATATATTTTGTTACTAAAAATTATCAATTTTCTCTGATTAATGCATCCCACATCGATAAAAAATGCATAAGAGAATAAGGTTTTGCACTATAAATGTATCCCACATCGATGAAAAATATTTAAGAAAATAAATTTTTACATTATAAAACATGTGAAACTCAATAAAACTTAAAATTAGTTTGGGTCTGATTAATTTTAATCAAAATTGATTAGTATTAAAATAATAATATTTTTTATTAAACTTTTATGATAAATTTATATATTATTTTTTTATGACAAAATTTTTGTTATAATATTTGTGTTGT